GTGATTCTTGCATATGGACACAGAGCTGCGCTGTGGCTTATCTGGGGAAAACGGGAGTGTGGAGGCATGTGACGTAGGCAGGCAATCTTTCAAGGGAGAATACGGGGGCTTGCTGAGTTTAATAGCAAAAGCTCTTTTATTGCAGCATGAAGGCATAAGATTTGCAGGTTGTGTCTTTGTGCAGCAGAGCAGGGAGCCAGTATCCCTCCCAGTACCACCCTTTCCATTTGGGCCCTACCATTGCAGACTGTTGTGAAGGGATCTAAACACCCCTGGGATCCAGGATCTTGCCAATGAAGAGGAGGGTTCCAGTGGTATCATCCCGCAGTACAAGAAGAAATGGTCTGTCCACGTGATATTCTATGGGGAAGGTCAGACGAGCAGCATTCACTCCAGGATTTGGTGTGGATCTTTCCCCATCTTCACTGAGCTCCAGAATTGCCTTGTGTTGCACGTGAGATAGCTTAATAGGTTTGGCAGAAATCTTGGTAAAATCGGGTGATGTGAAAAGCGATTGGAGCCCTGGAGGAAAGAAAGAAAATTCCATTAGCTGGAAGCACAGATTGCAGGTGGGGGAGCAGTACTGCTAATGCTGTGATCCAGGGGGGGCACGGAGCTGCTCTGGTAGCGTTCACTGGGGTAACAGAAAGAAGCAGCTTACGTCTGTTTGTACTGAGCTTCTCCCTCTCAGTCTCAGAAGTGCTGTACGAGCTTGGTGGGAAGGTGATAAGAAGTTGAGGAGTCCTGGACCGAGGTGGTTTAGTTGCTGGTGAAATCTCTACAGACTGACAGCAGGACGTAACTAACAACCCACCAGCTTCATGTTCTGAGAGCAGGAAGCAACTTGCCCACTGCTGTGAGCCCTGGCAGTCTGTAGAGGGTGTGTGATGTACATACTTGTCTCCTTTAGCGTGCTGCCAAGTGCCTCTTCGTAGTTCAGCTTTAGTTTGGGCAAGCTTAGCACAGCGTGGACTGTCTTCAGCTCCTTGTCTACATCGTGGACGAACTCTGAAGTAAGGCTTTCCTCAATCAGAGTCATATTCTGGGTCACCTTCGTAGGCAGGAAGAACATGGCACTGATTCCCTCTGTCAGTGGCAGCTGGGCAATCTGGAAGGCCAAACAAGAAAAGGTCACATCAATAATAAAGTTTTACTCGTCCTGTGCCAGGCACAGGCCTGAATCTTGACTGCCTGGTCAGCCCTTCCAGTTAACGGTTGGTCATCTTCCCTGTGTGCTCCCCTGGTGCTTCCTGACCCCTCTGGCACCCAGACTGTCATCAGCCCGTGCTTCCTGCTATCGCATGGCGAGTGCTCTCTCTCCTGTTGAATCCTGGGATGAACTCTGCAGTATTGCTTTGGGGGAACACCTCTGAGCTCATGCTACAGTGAAAGATTTGTCAAAAGAGGTAGAGATGGCAGAGTTTTGAGGAGTGTGCCCTGCCCTTCTTGTCCATCTGTTGGTCATGCAGTGTTTAAATTCTGTCCTGTTGTGTGCCAGTATAGAAGGGGGATATTCTAAGAATCAATGTACAGCCTTTGAAAATAGGGAATGTGAAACTAGGCTGAAGGAAGAAGCAAGGCTGGCTTTTGGAATGGGTTAACAGGCAAGTGTGACTGAGCCTGTTCCTCAGCCAGTTTAGGAGATCTTGTGCAATATTTGCTCTCTGACCTTGCAGTTGAGTTCTGAGTCAAAACCGTATCGCAGTATGGCTTTGGGGTCTGACATCATGGACACCTTCACAGTTCTGTCCTCATCCAGATGGAAGTCCTTCAGGGCAGTCTTCCTGGTGTCAAACTTGGTTTTCCATGTCCCTGTTTTTTAAAAGATAAAATGGAGGATTTTCTGGAATACTGGCATATGAAACCAGGCTTGTGTCTGTGTAATCTGCGTTTTGTATACACAGTATTTGTGCTGTAAGAGTTGAGGCATAACTGAATGGTGATAGAGATGCAAATAGACTGATGGGAGCTACTGATTTATTGCCACGCTCTGGCCCCTCCTTGTCGTCTGAGAATTGGCTAAATGGGAAATGAAAAATCAAGCCAGGGTATGGGTGGAGTAGCTATGGGGAAGCTGGTGTCTACTTATGTAACTGCAAAACTATTTTGAAGGGTAGCGATTGTGTCAATGCATATAGAGTGCTTCTCTCTCCACCCTTTATTTTGCTCCTTGTCTCTAAGCAGTAATTCTCCAGGACACTGGCTTACAGCACGTTCCAGAACAGCTCTCTAGTATCCCCCCTCCATTCCCTCTGTGGTGGTAAAAAGGCTCAGTACACTCTAAGCTGTGCCTTCCCTAAATGGTAATATTCTCTCTTGCTTTTGTGAGCTTAAACCTTCTCTGGTCTCTTACTGCAAACAGGTCAAGATTCAGCTTCTCATTCCTCCCTCGAGGACTATTTCTGTTCAGGTAGTGTGTGTATTTTCTTCCCTACTAAGAGTTCTCAAGCACTTTCTTCTTGCACTGTCTCTTTGGCAGCCTGTGTGCTCCACTGGGAGCGAGAGCGTTCCCTCGCATCTCTCCTAACACGCTTGGTAAGCCCTCTCTGTAACCAAGTGCACAACACTCTTACCCTTGAAGAAAGCAGCCCCAGCAAGGAGAATGCTGACATCTGCGGGCATGTCCTTCATGAACCGCATAATCCTTCCCTTCGTCTGCTGCCGTACCCAGTTGTTGATTTCTTGGAGGTCTAACTGGGTATTGCCACTTAGTGCCCTCAGACGCATCTTGTAGGACTTCTCTAGTTGGCTGTGAAAACCTGGCTTCACCCTCAGTCCTGGGGAACAAAAACATGGATACTGCAGCTAGCTCCCTTATCAAAACAATCTCAAGGCAGCAGATTGCAATCCAAAGCCCAGCAGCAGCGCTCTCATCAGACATCTGTGGCTGTGTGTACACAGAAACCTGCTTTGAAGAGGAATGACTGAAGACACACGGAGGAAACGGATTCAAATCCTACAGCCACCCATCCTGGAGTATGGGATAACTCTCTTCAGAAAAGTAAAGAGTGGAGATAAGGACAGAAGGCTTGGACACAGCTATTCCTACATCTTTCTTCTTTCTCCAGCTCACTTTATGAGCACGGCTTACTCAACCTATTGGATTCTTGGAACCAGCAGGTTCCAAAAGACAGCTCTTAACTTTCTCAGCAGATGTTTACTGCGTGCTGAAAGCAGACACTGCAAATAGTTCTGCAAGGAATTCAACAAAGGAATATGGCTGAACGCTATCACAAATAGAAAATGTGATTTGTGGTTCCTGGAAGTTAGCAACACCTGCCAGAAAACCTAGAGAGAAGGCAAAATTCTCAGCAATTTTCTTCTAGGTCTTCAGCATGTTAGCTGTTCTGTCACCAGTGTCCCTGTGTGCATGAGCCTGGTCTTTTATTTATGTGCACACAAACTTTCCAGGCTTTTTCTGGAGCAGCAACAGCATTCCATGTACTGTCTGCGTGGTGGCTCAACAGTATCAGAGCCAAAGCTGGTTAGTGTGGTGTTACCAGTGTGTTCTACCTGCAGCTAGTCATTTAGGTAAAATTTGAGAGAGGGGAAGGAGGACTTTTACTTTTCTCCAAGATGATACGGGAGGCGCTTTTCATGCTCTTCTCTGGTCGAGTCACGCTGGTCAGTAGGTCCTTGTAAGTGTTATGGACCTCAGCTTTGTTAAGCAGGTCGTAGAAGAGAGCGCGGGAAATCACATCTTCTGTTCGCTCTCCAGCCCCTGCCAACGACAAGGCCGACAGCATGAGGGGAAGGCCTATCGCGCCAAACCGCGTGAGGAAGCGGGGCAGGAACTCACCGAGCGAGAGAGCAGAAAGGGCAGTAGCCAGGCTGAACGGAGACAGCAGCACATTGGCGGTGGCTGTCCGGCTGGATTGCTGGCGGTACAGGTCATAGCCAAAGTTGGAGACTGCAGCTGCCAGCTTGTTCACAGGGCTCTTGTAGAACGGATCCTCCTCTTCGACCTCGCCAGCGTTAGCTCCATCAGCGGTGGCAGAGCTCTAGCGGGTACAGGCAGCGCTTGGTTAGAGTTGCAGTTTACAAGGGTGGGGTAGATTTGTGATAAACGTTTCAAAGGTAAGAAATCTGCAGATACTCTCCTACGGTCTACAGAAATAGTGCCTTCATCTTCCTGACAGAGAGTGTAGGAACAGTTACTTTAAAGTGACTTGGTAAAGCCAGAGGCAGCGCTCAGATTGGAATCCACTATTTCTGCCCCACAGTCATCCCCTGATGTAACTGCTGTGGTTTTATCTAGGTAAAGCAGGAATTAGTCTCGTTACGTTGCTAAATAAACTCCTAGTAACTTAGGAGGGTAGGGCTTAATCCTTCCATAAGATTCTCTAAAATTAAGTTACCTGCTCCAGGTATCTCTCTCTCACTCTCTGCATGTTGTCTCCTACTCACCTGCTCAGTAGCTGAGTTCTGGGATCTGCTTGGGACAGTTAAGAGACCCAGGAAAAGGAGAACCACTGGAATCTGCATGCCTGAACCTACAGAGTAAGAACATGACAGAGGTAGTTTGAGCAACCGAGCAAATACATCTCTACCGCTGCTGTTTGCTGGTCCTGGCTGTGACGGGAACTGCCCTGAGA